GCAGTTCCTCGCGCTAATTTGTGGAAGTAGCTCAAAGGTTCCATCTGTGCTTGGTCAGTTAAGACCTCCGACTGGGAGACATAACTTTTGGGGCCGAGGTGGAAAAATCTGGGGTTTCGGTGAAGGTCCCAGGCCGGGTTGCTTGAAAGTCTGTCTTTACAACCACTGAGACCCAGCATCCAAGGTGTCTGGCTGAGCTAGAGTTTGATGAATCTGTGAAGCGGGCATCTGTAACCATGCAGTTACTTTTTGTTGTTGTTGTTGTTGTTGTTGTTAAATACCTGTGACTGGGACACTGCTCAAAGCAGCGGGGCTTCTGGCCAGGGTGCGGAGGGCGTGGAAGGCGGTCACTCAGCAGCCTACGAGCAGCCGGTGTGCTTGAGGATCAGATTTTCCAGCGTTGGGGCATCTGGCCACTCCATTCTGAGGCAAGAACATCTGTTTAGCATCGGGTCACCCTTTCTAAAACCTGTTGCAGAATTTACCTTTACTTTCTGTGCCCTAACGTGAACTTTCCTCAGTTCGATTCACTCCTTCTTGGCCGGCGGTCCGCCACTGAGCTCTTTGGCCCAAGAGTCAGCAACCAGAATAATTCCGTTCCCTTCCCCATCCTCTCCATCTCCAACCCCCTCCTCCTCTCCTCTAAGGATCCGGGTTATCCGCCCCATTAATATATTAGCCAGGCATAACACAAAGGAAGCGCGTGTCCGCAGAAGGCAATGTGACTCCAGGGAAAGGCGAGAAAACCTGGACAATGCTCTGCGCTACCACACGGTTCATTGCAGTTTGAGCTGGTGAATTGGCCTCCACCTAGGAAAAGCCGTGGAGGACACTGCGGGAGTTGGTGCTCGGCAGCACTGAGAGGTTATTGGGTTGGGCGTTTATAACTGTACTGCAGGAAGAAGCCCAGATGGGGCCCAGAGCTAATATTCCAAAAAAAAATACCCCATCACCTGAGTCATGCAAAGAAACGAGCTGTCCAGGAGCACACAGTAAACGGGCACCCACTTCCTTCCTCGTACCCAATAGGCCCTTAAAATTAAATATATAAACGAAATAAACCACTGCAAAGCCCCTTACTGTCTTTTCCTTAAATTGTTCGTGTTTTAAAATAACAACTCCTTGGTGTAAAGTCAGGGGTTGGTGGGGACTGACACGAGAACATGATTAGACAGGCAAAGGCATAACAAATTTTATAGGAGAGGGGGGAAAGAAACTATGGAGGTTTGCAATTTAATTCATGGTTCCCTGTTTCCAGTCAACGCTTTGGGGGGAATTTCCAGGTTGTTTCTTGGTTGGGGGGGAGGGGAAATATTTGACATGTCATCTTCAATAGGTGTTGAGAAAAGTAGAAAGGGAACTTCACTCTTAGAACTCTAGAGTCAGGTCGGACCCTGGGTGTGAACTTAATTTCCCCAGTGACTTGACCAGCATCCTACCTGCATTCTGAAGTCCACAAACAGGATTCCATTTAAGCCCCTTCCTTCCTGAATTTTGATGAATAGTATCCTGTCCCTATAACTCTAGATTGACTAGAATATAGAGAACCCCAAAATATTCTGAAATGGCATCTAGAAGGAGAACTCCTCACTTCCCAGAGGGGCAAGGAGGAGGGGAGCTCACTCTTGCCATGCCATTTGCTCTTAAAATGTGTAGTAGTATAACTATCATAATTGTCTTGACGAAGTTAGAAAAAGAAAGGTAGCAAGTGAAAATTTCCGCCTGGTCAGGTTTAAAAACACGCATGCAGTTTACAAGTTATTATGGAACAGCATGGGTATTCTCCGCCCCCTTAAAGCTTGCTAGAAGGAGGGCTGGGTGTGTGTGTGGTGGGGGGGAAGGTGAGGGCTGCAGTCCCAGCTGTGCAAAGTTCAATGAACCAAGCTGGGCTGGGAGCTAAAAAGAGAAAACACCAATGGAACCATTATGTCCCAAATTTAACTATTAAGAAGAAGAAGAGAGGGGGGAAATTTTAATTTGTTGTTAAATGTTATTTGAATATGCTAAATAGCACCATAGTAGCTGCTTTTAAAAAACCTTATATCTCTTCAAATGGATTCTATTTATAAACAGGAAGGTTGTAAGATCTTCCAAGTGATTTAATTTTATAACATTCTCAATCTTATGAGTATTTATAGATATTACAATTCTTTTATTTTGGGAACTTTTTATTTCTAAATTTAGGCATAATTTGATTACCTATTTAGCTCAAGGTAGCTTAAAAATAATCACCTTTTGCATGTAATTATCTTGAAGTAATTAAGCTTTCTCCTAACTGTATTAGTTGTAAAACACATTGTACCATCATTCAAATAAACAGTGTTTAATTTTGAAGATAATTTTTTACAAATTTATTAAATATTAAATAATTTAAGCAATTTTATTTTTCAACAAGTTTTTCCTCTTGACATATTGAGGTATCACATTAAAATACATTATAGCTAAATGTTCTACAATATTACTGCTAAATCAACAGAAAACCAATTGATCTTGAGGAAAGGTTAATTAATTTGGGTTACAGGTCTCCTACTTTGTCCGCATTGACAGGAATTTGTATTGATCGCAGGTTTTTTTTTTTTTCAAAGAAATTTAATAAGCATTTTCATGTAACTGAGATCAATTTGAAAAATGCCAAAACAACAAAGTTTTAACATTTTATCACTACGGGAATTATTGTCTGTTATGGCTCACTCAAATCTTCGAGACTCCTGAGGAAAAAAAAATTTTTTTACACTTTCAGTAAAATCTGTCAGGTAACTATAGTCTTCTGAAAAATGAAAACATAAGTTAAAAACTTTAATAGGATTCTATTGGTTTTCTTCTCCTAACAATTCTCGCCAGTTTATTCTGCTATGCCGGGGATCACTGAAGGGACAATGGAAATACAATTTTATCTTTGATTTAAACACTGTGTTAACTCTCTTGTGGAAAACGAACTGAGCTGCCTCCTACTTGCGTACACTTCTGAGCTGTTTCGTTTCTGCTGAATAGAACTGGCGAGTTTCTCTTCTTCCCTAGCTTTGGTTTTTCTCTCCCCCCTTCGGCTTTTTAAAATCACTTTGAAAAATGTTCCAAACCTGCCGCTTCCAAATGCAAAGTGGAAGTAACAATTGAAGGGTCCCTCCCCAGCACTCACTCCCCAAACATTTTTTCCTCCTTTTAAAAAATATGTTTGCTCGTGGCGTTGGCAGTGGATCCGAGGGCCTCCGGAGCTTTACACTAGGGTCAGGAGGAAGACTTTCTATCCACGAGCCCTCCCTCCGCCTCTGGAGACCCCTCCCCCACCTCGGGCGAAATTCCTAAGTAGAACAAGCAGGGGGCACCGCCACTGAGCCCGGAGCATCCCCTTTCCGGCCTTGGGCCGCCGGAGCATCCGAGGTGAAGAAACCCTGGAACTCCTCGACGAAAACCGGGGGCGGGGGAAACCGGAGTCGCGCGGAGGCGGCACGCTCGGGGAGGGTCCCTCGGAACCACAGATGTTTTCCTCCTGGCCCAGGGGCGTCGCGCCCCAGCCCCGGGCGTTCAGGCATTTGTGTGTCCCGGTTTCCGAGGAAGGGATTACGCAGCGGGAGCGGCCGCGGCAACGCAGGCCGCTGGGGCCGCAGGACGGTGACAAGAAGCCCGGACTTCTTTGTTGACTTTTAGGTCTCTGGCTCAACAGAAGATTTATTCGCCAGACAGGGAAAATGCCCAAACAATGAAGAACTAACTGCACTTGTCATCCTGAGACGCTTGCGGTCTTGCTCTTCCCCCCTTCCCCAGAAACCTGCTGCCCGAGTCCCGACGCACGGGTCACAGATCGCGTCGCCCAAAGGCGGCGGAGAGCGTAGTCTGACAACCCTGTGGGAAGCCCACCGGGCGGGCAGGAGCTGGGCCTGCAGGCACCTCGGTTCCAAGGCCAGACCCGCTCCTCAGGACCCTGGCGCTGGCGTCCCAGGAGGTCTCCAAAGGCTCTGGGCACCTTCCACCCGCCAACCCAGAAAGAAAAAAAAAAAAAATCTGCCAAGTAAAAGATCAAGAGCCAAGGGCTACTGGAACCTGGTGGGGCGAAGACTGTACGTTGATACTGCTAGTGTGTCGAAGGGGAAGAAGGGAACGTCACCAAGGGGATGGCACAAAAAATCAGACGCTTTAGGTTCAAGGGAACTGGAGGAAATGCCAAATGCCGTGGCCCAAGCTCACGCATGTATGTTACATTTGGAATTTGAATTTTCCATGACTTGTTTACTCGCCATATAACTATGAATAACTTAAGATTCAAAGCTTTTTTCCTCTCTTGGGTTTTCAACGTCCTTCCGAGGCCTCCAAATTAAGTTTCGAAATGACTTAAACCAGTGATTTATTTTTTTCCCTTCCTCCTTTCATTAGCTGAAGAGAGCGGAGATTTCTGGATTTTTCTCAAGTGCTATGTGGCGTCCCTCTCTCATCTGGGGAGGCCATTAGGCGATAATTAAGCGACTCGCCACAGCTCTTTTTATCTTGTCTGCGGTTATGGAGTGGTGCGATCAAAGTAAAGGCTGTCCAAGTTCAAGCCCTGGTGAGGATGGAGTTCATACACAAGCGCTCAGGCAGGCCAGCCTCTACTTGGGCTGGTGGTGTTATTGTTGATGTCAATCTGAACAAGACTTACAAAGAAATAGGTGGACTGGAAAGTGAGCCTACTATCAAAGGAGATTAATGATTTTGTGATCCCAAGCAACTAGGGGTGTGAAGTTGCATTTCAAATCTTCTTAGAAGGCAAACAAATCATCAGATTTAAGATTCTGAGGAGCGATATTTTTACAAACGGTATTTAAAAAATATATATATCTTCACAAAAACAAAATAGCTATCCTGAAATATCCTGGTGGCTCAAAACTTACCCTACAGAAGTGAATTAACTCCCCTCCTCTCTCCAAAGCTGGCAGAATGGCTAAGTTTTGTTTCTCTTTTAATGAGAATAGGGTTGAAGAGTTCCTGTTGCAGACAACTTAATTTTATCAGACACAGCTGATACATTATTCTCACTTGAATATTCTCTGATAAGGGGAAAAGTATACATTGGGGAAGTTGGAAAATTAGCAATATTTTATTTCACAGTGGAAAAACTGAAATAAAACACACAAAAAAAGGCCGTGCAAGAAAATTGGAGTAAACCTTAATGGGAATAAAGAATTTTAAAAATCTGAAATTTTGGACTATTTAAATCAGTCTGCCTGCCCACTTTAATTTCTTTCACTGCCTTTTAATGACCGCACGTTCATTTAAATCGTAGATGAAACAATTTTTGTTTTACATAATTTTCCTGTTTGTCATTCATATTGTTTCAAAGTTTGAAAAGTATTATATTCAGAAGATCTGCTGTGGATTTAGTCAAGTGAAGGAAAATGAGAGAAATCCTTTTTTTTGTTGTTAACATTTGATTTATTTAAAGTCCTTAACTGCAAATGATCAAGAACATATTCCACGGCTTAAAATCTGGTATTATTTTTGTTATTTAAATCAAAATATTTTAATTACAATCACATTGATAAAAATTAACATTTTAATTGTAATTTTAACCATCATTTAAAGCAATTTCGGCTGTAAAGAAAAGAATAAACCATGCAATAAATTAACATTGAGAAGGCAAAAAGGAATAATAATGAAACCCGTCTGGCTATACTAACACCATATCCAACTGTGGAAAGTGCATTAACACTGGATGAAACAAGCACACGATGGCAATAATTAAAATGGCCACAATCAATACGATTTTGGAGTCTTGGACCAATTTTTGAAATACAGCTCCCTATTAACTTCTCTCTTTTCCAACATTGTGATATTCTGTTTTTGTGGGAAAAATATCCTTTAAATGGTGTACATACACATAAGATAATTTTATACATTATGTGACCTCAGAATGACATGACCATGGCACTCTGCAAATCAAGGAGCAGAGTTCTTGACAAGGGCAATTCCTGAGGAATTGATTCCTAGGCCCCAGATATGGGGAGAGAACAAGAGGGGTAGGGTCCTTATAACTTCTTGGTCAGGCAACCCTTAACAATGTAGAATGTATATTACCTACCTATTAACCTCTATATGTTATGTAAATATATGGAGAATGTCTACATATCTGAGCATAATTAAGTCCATAGACAGTATATATATATATATTTCATTTAAAGTCCACTGCTTTCTGGATCAGAAATGTAAGCTGAAAAACAAATGGCTCTGATGTTTATATTCTGTTTATGTTTTGTTGCATAACTGCGGTAGTCTTTCAATACTTTCTAGAGCCCCTGGTGTCTACTTGTTTCTTCACCATTTCAATTCTTATGGTTAAGAGTATTGCCATGGACCTGTAAACTCGTGCGTTGGGGTCAGATAAGGAGGGGAGAAAAAGCACAAACAAATATTTTACAAACTTGACCATTTTTCTTTCTTTTTGTTTAAATATACCCTGCACAGACTAGAATGTGTCTGGAAGGGAAAGACGGAAGAAAGGGAAGAGGGCAAGGAAGAAGGAAAATTTTATATGTACACTTGTGGATCATTAAACTTCGCAGGAAAAATTTTTGTTGGTGCGGGGTTGGTAATAATATACACAACGAGTTTTGAATACAATAATAAAGTAACAGTCCTTTCCACTGGGGGAAAATTGTGCACGAAAAATTAAAATAGTTGGGATTTTATTATGCTGTTGTTGGTGTGTGTGGTTTTGTTTGCTGTTGTTTTTTGTTTTTTTCTCTCACTGCTACCAGCATGGCCATGCAGACAAACCCCCAGTCCCGGAAGCTAGGAAGTGTTTAGGACGGGTCTGGAATACACACCTTGGTAGTAGGCCGGCTCCAGGGCTGAGGGCTCGATGGGGCTCCTCGTGGCCACAGAGGCGCTGCCAAGGGGCAGGCTGGCGGGCAAGGTGGCGCCGTAGGGTGAGTACTGCAGTGCCTGCTCATATGCCTTGAAGTCCAGCTTGTGCTGCTGCTCGGAGGAGGACATGAGGTTGTTGATGGAGAAGGGGTGATTGAAGGAGTAGTGGGGATCCCCTTTCAGGTGCATCTGAGACTCGTGGGGTGCTAGGCCATGCGCTGGATGAGAGGGGGGCACAGATGCCAGGGCCCCAGGCCCGGAGCTTATGGGGGGAGCCGACGAGGAGGCTGGAGTCTTCAACTCCGAGGCGCCCCCTGTCGCCGTCGCCCCGCTGTGGTCCAGAGTCTGGGGGCTGGCGGCGGGCCCAGGGGCCGGCGCGCCCTCTAGCTGGCCGGCCTTCCCGTGCACACCCCGATGAAGAGGCGAGTCGGCGCTGGGGTTACCCGCGCCAGAGGGGTCCTTGCGGCTTTCAGGGCCGCTCTTGGAGCCGCTGGCCCCACTCCCTCCCCCGGCCCCTGGCTGCTTTTCGCACTTGAAGCGCTTCTGACGGCGCAGGTAGCAGCCGTTCTCGAACATGTTGCCGGAGTCCGGATGCAGCGTCCAGTAAGAGCCCTTGCCTGGCTTGTCCGGGGATCGTGCCACTTTGACGAAGCAGTCGTTGAAAGAGAGAGAGTGGCGGATGGAGTTCTGCCAGCGCTGCTGGTTCTGCCGGTAATAGGGGAAGAGGTCCATGATCCACTGGTAGATCTCGCTCAGCGTGAGCATCTTGCTGGGCGCCTGCTGGATAGCCATCGTGATGAGCGAGATGTAGGAGTAGGGCGGCTTGGCGTGTGGGTAGCTGCGCTTGAACGTCTTGGCGTCGCCGCCTCCGCCCGCGCGGCTGCGGCCCAGGTTGGACGGAGCGTACGCCATGGGGCTCATGCACGGGTTCATGGCGGCCGCATAGGGGCCCAGGCCATTCATGGAGGCCGCCGGCTGCGCGCCCATGGCGCTCATGCCACCTGGACTCAGCGCCGTCCCCATGGCAGTCACTCCTGCTGCCGTCATGCTGTTCATGGCGCCCGCTGAGCCCCCTGGCATGCCGGTCACAGCGCCGGGACTCAGACCGGCTCCGAGGCCCGGGTTAGCGTAGGACATATTGAAGGAAGCCGGGGTCATGTTGCCGCTCGTGGTCATGGTGTTCATGGTCATGTAGGTGTTCATGGAGTTCATGGAACCTAGGCCTGAGTTCATGTTGCTGACTGGGACGGAGGAGTAGGCCTGGAGCAGAGACAGCGAGTGAAGAGGCCCCGAAGGGCGGGGTTAGTGATAGGCTGGGGGCAGAGGGGGGGCAGCAGGCCAGGGGCAAACTCCTGGTGGCGCGGGTGGAGAGCATTTCTAAAAAGTATGGGAGCCCCCCACCCTGGGCAAACTGTTAGGCGCCCTTCCCAGACCGAGCAAAGATGTCTTGCGCGGCAGGAGGAAAATCCTAACGCAGCAGGCATGAAAGACAAGCGCTCACAGAAAATATGTCCCCGGGAAGATGTGTAATCGCCTTACACACCAGACTCAGGGGTTGGCTTCCAGGGCTGCTTCACTGCCGCCTCTATCCACACCAGGCACTATACCAAGTCTCCACCCCACACCAGCCTCGGGCCTTTGAGGCAAATGGTCTTTAAAAACTCCGAAAATAGAATTAATCTCTGACCCTCTGCTTCTTCACATCATCCCAAGGATCCAGTGGGTTCCCGGCCCAGCCCCCGCTGGGAGAGCAACAGGGCGCCAACTCTGTGCCCACCTCACCCAAGGCTAGCAGGCTCCGCTTGACTACACAACAGTCTTGATTGTGCTAGATGGCTGTTAATGAAACTCTTCTTAAAATACAGCAAATCATCCAGGGCCATGTACCCCCTACCATCATTCATTTCCCTACAAGAAATGGCTTTATTGTTTTAGGAGTTTTTGCCAAAATGATGCATTCCTTTTAAAAAAAAAAACATTATATCTAAAAGTAGTGTTTCCCATCTACTTGTAGCAAATCTAATATTTAAAAAGGAAGCATACTCAGAAATTATATAGGCTTCGGCAAATAAAAGTGAAATCAGATTAACAGAAGCTTATTGCAGGAGTGCATCATAGTATCAACCTTCTACATACGTTTGACATGAGTTTACGTGTATACCTCTCCAAACCATTTAAAAACTTGCATTGTTACCTATTTCTAGCCCTTTAAAGTGTGAAAATTTTGGTGACAATTTGTTGTAATAATCATCTAGGTTTTTTTCACAAACCGATATGCTGCTGATGACCATTTCAAAAGCCTTGCTTTTGAAACTTCATGAGTAGTTTTGAAAAATTTCCAAAATTAAACACTACCTACTTTCTCTTAATGCTCTTATACTTCCTAATTCTCAGTTTCAACATGTAGGAAAGCTCTTTTACTAGAGGGCTTAACTGGTGGATTGAGATGACTGCATCAGAATTAAACCTCTGGAAGAGTTCTGAGCTCCTTTAAAAAACTCTTTATCAATAGTAATTTGGGAATGAAGTGGGTATTTTAAAATACAGAACCCAGAAATACTAAAACTACTTATCCGATAATTTAATAAAGAACAATAAATTCCTCAAATTTATGTTCATCAGCAAATATAACTCCATTTGAAAACATAAGAGATGAACAAATAGATTTAAATAGGAATACCCTGTAAACTGTGGTATTCAAATAAACTTGAATGAATGTGAAAATATATCTATATATATAGAAACTAATTGCTATGAAAACGTTTTCTGATTATATATATGTATATATGTATATATACATATACCACACATAAATATATATTTTGTCCACCGCCGTCATGTGGTGGGGTTTATTTACTTGGGAGTTTATTTTCTTTTCCTTTTCCCAAGATAATCCAAGGCCCAATCCAGTAAGCGTTTTTAAGAATGGTAAATAAACTTTTGGGGGGCAGCTGCAAACTGTTTTCAGAAAAATACTTTTAATAGGGGGTGATCCTGCCTGTACCTGGTTTTCCTCTCAATCCTTTTGTGCACATTGTAAAAGCCCATGAACGGGCCACCAAGGGGACAATGAAGAGAAACAGGTTCTTGGCCCCGAGTTCTGGAAAAGGATTTGGCTCGCACTAGCGCCACCCAGCGGTTCTAGAGTAGAATGAGCTCACTTCTCCCCAAACAGGGCTTTTGAAGAAGTTTTACAAAATGTAGGAATCGTTTCATTATTGAGACTCCCAACTTTGCTGCACAGCGCCTTTATCAGAATATGTCTGCAAATTAAACGGTGGGACGCAGAGACTGCCCTGAAGGCAAGCTCTGGATTTCTCAGAGTTACTTCCAACTAGTGCCGGCGGCACCCGAGGCGCCCAGGGCCGGGCTCCAGCTCCCGCTCTCTACAGGGCAGAGGCAAGTGCTTCCCAGAGCGGATGTTTTCAAAGCCCGGACTTTCCTAAAACTCTTTTGCCCGCTGCGAGAGCAAGGACCCAACTGGGGAACTGGACCGACTATGAGGCTCGTCCAAAGCTGGGCCCGGGCCACACCAAGCAGACGGGCAGCCGTGGCACCGATTAGGCGCCACCAGCCCGCCAGCCACACTGCCTGTCCCGCGCCCACCTCGCCCCGGCCTCTGGGCTCCGGAGACGCCCTGCTGGCCACCAGTCTCTCACCTCCTGTGTGTCCGCGTAATAGCTGTTCCAGTCGCTGCTCTCATGCCCTTCCATCTTCACAGTCCCTAACATCCTGGAGCAACCCTGCCCGATGCAACCATCCAGCCCAGTGCGAAGCGACGGGCAACCGCGCGGCGCGGGGCGGGGGGAGGGGAGCCGAAGCAGCTGCAGTCACCCGAGCGCCCGCGCGGGCCCAAAGCCACCCCGGAGAGGAGGAAGCTTGGCGCTGCGGGGCGCGGCGTGCGTGGCGGCGGCACGGCGGGCGGGGGCAGCGCCGGGGGCAGGCGGCTGCCGCGGAGCGCGGCGCCGGGGAGCGCCTCCGCGGAAAGTGAGCGGGCGGCCTCTGTGAGGCGAGTGCAGTTGAGCTGATGTGGATCTTACGTCGCTTGAGTGCCCACCTCCTCGTCCTCTCCCCATTTGTCCGCGGCACAAAGACGCTCGCACCTACAAAGCCCGAGGTGCACCTGCGAGGCGGCCGCCCGCCAGTCCAGCCGCCGCTCCTCCCGCCCTGCCGCGCCGCCGCCGCGCGCGCCCCCCGCGCCCCCTCCCATTGAGTCCCCTCCCCCCAAACCTGGCCCTCACTTTGTTTGCAAAGCAGTGTAATTGGTTTAAGCCCCGAGGCTAGGGAAAGAGTGAAATGGGGCGGGGGAGTGTATGTAACCCCCTTTGGAAAAGGGAAAAAGAAAAATAGGCGGGACCATGAAGGGCAGGCCAAGATTCTAGATGGGAACCCGGTAGCTGGAGTAGGGCTGGGGCGGTGGCGTCGGAGCCCAGGCTCTGGGACCTTGTGCGCGAGATGACCAAGGGGTTCCTCCCTAGAGGCACTCACCACCCTCTGCACCTGAACTGCGACTGCGTCCGGAGCTCCTCATGCCCTTTTACCTGTTCCCTGCCTCTACCCTCATGATTCCAGACCCAAAGTTCAACCCCGCGAGACTGGTGAATACAGACTTTATTTTATTTTATTTTTCCCCTCACCTGGGCTTCAAACTAGAAAAGGGAAAAAGCCTCGTCACTAGAAACCCAGCCATCTGAGTCAGCCGAGCCGAGTGACGTTAGGTTGACCCGGGCTCCTGGCTAGCAGAGCGGAGGCGCAGCCACGAAACTCGTACCTGCGGCTAAGAGCAGGTGAGTCACAGCACCGTTTTATATCTTTATGACATAACTTTTTTTTTTCCGCCTCAGTCCTCTCCACTCCCCTTGTCATCTGTAGTGAACATAAAGAGGAAGAAACTGAGAGCAGATGTCTGTGTAGTAGAGCAGGCGGATTCAAGTTGGCCGTTCTCCCTCAATCGAGCTCCTCCTCCCACCCCCCTTCGGCAGCCTAGGGGACTGAGCTGGAAGGTACCGTCTGGTTTCTGATAGGGAAAGGTCAAGGGGAGGGGACATCTCCCTAAACACGGACGTTAGCTGAGAAAACTAGGACTCGCACGCTGGGACGCATCTGCACTGCTGAAGAGGTGCCAGGCCGAAGCCAGAGGCAGCCCATAAAGGCTGTGTCTCTGACCTGGAGATGTGGGACTAGCATTTCAAGCTCTCGCTTGGTTCCTAATGGGTCCTGGGCTTCTATGGGAAATTCTCCCCCACGGAAAGCCTTTTGACTTCCTCGAAGCTCTTTGTAGTGGATTGCTCACATGTCCTGGAGAAAGACCAACCAAAGAGACTGGATGATAGGCACTAAATTGGTGATAGGTTGGGAGACGTGCACGGATGTTTCTGAGTAGAGTGTATATGTGTTCTGAGTATGAGTGATGGAGTGTGTGAGTGACCATGTATGTGTTGTACCTGCCTGCAGAACCATCAGGTTTCCTTAAGTAGCAATAAAATAAAATCTTAACTAAGACTGCAAAATTCTTGTTTTGCAAAGTTAAAAAATGTAATTAATCTCATTTTAAGAAATGTGTTTTAACTTGCCTTCCAAACAGATATCTTATCACACCCCCCCACCCCGTTCTTTGTTCTCTTAAATCTTTTTTCCTTGAAAACTGGTAAGAGAATCACGTTAAGTCCTTGAACCAAACAAATCTCTTAAATCAGCAGGGGAGCAGAGAGGGTGAAGATGTACAGTTAAGGAAATAAAAAAGATAAAAGCATTGGATTACAATTCCTTTTTGAACAGAAGGGGGGGCATCATTTGTGAGGGAGGGAATGAGAATGAAATTAAATCCACCTGGAACTCAGCAGCCCAAGAACCCACCCCAATGCAGTCTACCGAGGTGGACCCTTGAGTTTATGTAAAGGTACCTGCAAGTGTGTGTCTGAAGCTAATTCTTTGGTGCAAAGTTCCCATCAGCAGCAGGACCTCAGTTCCAATTGTAAAGTACACTGATGCTTAGCTCCCTCAGTCTGATGGAGACTTTCAGTGTTAATGAGCTTCCTTGTTCCTTCCAGCGTGTGACTCTCAATGCCCTCTTGGCTCTTCTACAACATCAAGCTTGACTACAGTATTTTCTTTATGGGTGGTTACAACTTAGTAATAGCTTAGTGATAGCTTTTACAGTGCACAAAAACACTGCACTTTAAGAGAAAAAAACGTAGTCACTGTAACGGGAATTAATTTTAAAATGTCAAATGTTCATTTGGCTTATTTTCCTAAACTGTAGTTTTTTTCATCAATGTATGATAATAATATCTTCTGTTCATAATGTTATGGCCAAAGTAAAGTTTCTCCCAAGCTTCTTCAAAGCCTAAGACTGATGGTGCAGAATGGACTCTGTCAGCTCTAGAGCCTTGATCCAGCTCCGAGGTTCCCAGGTCCGCAGACCAAGGGATTCCCGGGAACACAGCGCCTCCTGTCTTACAGACCGAATGCTAGATTTTCCAGCAGGTGCCCACAGCGATAACCCCAGGAGAGACTGGGTTGAACCTCGCACGTTTCTTTCAGGCAGGGATTTTGGTCTGCAGCAGCATTCCTAGACACCTAACAAATTCAGAAGGTGAAGTTCTAATGTACTCCACATGCTACCCAGTCAGTTTCCCTGAGGGATAAAAGAGAATCAGCAGGGCCACGCAGTGTCCTTGACTAGGAAACACACACACACACACACACACACACACACACACACACACGCTGCTGTCTCTCAAGGTTGATGGCCAGTTGGCAGCCAGGTAAAGAGTCCAGCTGCCTAACCCTGCTTGTTTCCAACCACTTTCCCCAATTAGGTCCTTACAGTGTTACACAACTGCTTTGCAAAGACTGCTGCTTTCTTAGGGGAGTTAAACCTGTCTTCAGCTCTAGGAGGCTGAGTGGACTCAGGGCAGGGAAATCACTAGAGCAGCCACGTGGCAGTTCCTGAGAAGTCCCGAGCCAAACTCGCAGGGGTGAGGACTGGTCTTCGGCAGCCGGGGGCAGCCGAGGTAGCGGGGAGAGCGGGCTCTTCAAGTGGAGGGCGCTGGGGCAGTCAGGACCTTGGGGTACACTAGTACATAAGGCAGCCGCGGATCGAGAAAGCGGCTCCGCCTTTCCTGGAAGCTGCTCCTGCCACGCGTTTGGGGCCTGCTCCCTCCCTGCACAGACCCGCCGTAGGAGGTCCATTGACTGAGCCCGTGAGCCTCAGCTCATCCTCCCCGCAAATATTGACCAGGCAGGGAGAAGCAGAGGGTATGACGACTAAAGACTAAAGATGTCTCCAAGCCAAGGCTCCTGTCGTGGACCCAGCTGGTGGCCTCCCCAAGCCTGGGCCCTACCTATTTAGCGATCGAAGGGTGGGGACGAAAGCAGGGTCTGGGGCGGCAGGCCTCTGCGATGGGATGCCCCTGGATTCTCTCCAGGGCGTCCCTCCATGGCTTTTCCTAGTCGGCCTCCTTTCCCCGACGACTCTTGTTGGTGCTGTGATCAGGTCAAGACCTCCGTGGGCCCAGCCACGCTTGGTGCAGGGTGGTCCGAATTTATCCTCATCCCCCACCTCCTACCCAGATAAGAAGCTTAAGTCTTCCTCCTGCAAGAGAGAGAATCAGACTCAATGAAAGACCTGTGGTCTTTAACTCGGTTCAAAGCCGACCCCAACTGGGACCTGGCTCAGCTGAGGAATGAGGAAGGCCGGAACGCAGAAAGCCTCTGCTGGCCCTGCCGATTTGAGGTGTGCCTGGAGAAGGGACCTGAGTGCCTCTGGAGCGACAGTCTTAAGCGTCCCGCCCACACCCGCGGGGGGGCGCTGCGGTCGGCTCTGAGGGGCCCCCTCTCGCCCTGACCAGCCTGAGGCGCAGGGCCAGCATTCGAGCCCTTTTTCTCTTCCTCTCCCTTCTTTGCCTTTTCTTTCCTCATACTTTCGCTCCTCTCTTCCTTCTGACACTAAATCATTAATTAAGGAATTAACTCCCCACTGATGAGACGTCCCACTCCCAGTAGGTAGGCCCCCTACAACCACCTGAAGGACGCCGTCGGGCCACTTCTGTGCGGAGTCCTTTTGCTGTTCTCGGCCGCATCCCTGGCCAGGTGGTGTGTGTGCGCCTGTGTGTCTCCAATACACAGCACTAGGGCTTTCTGTTATTTTATTGTAAACAAACGAACATCAGCCATTAGGTTTGTCCCTTCTCCTACTGATCTCTGTCGGAGTCTCCGCTGGGTTTCAGAACCGTCCCAGAGTTCGTGGACCTGGCTCGCCAACAGCCGGATGTCGGAGCCGGAGCTGCTCCCCACCTGGCTTCTCCCGCGGGCGACAAAACCGTTTCTGGCCGTGAGCGAGCTTCGCTTTGCCAAAACCAACTCACATTTTCATGTATTCAAATGAGAAATGTTAGAAAGGGCGACTGGCTCTTCTGGGCAATCAAAGTCCCATCCGTTCCCCCAGCGAATGGGAGCCTTCCTCCCTCGAGGCCAGGGAGTGGATAAGGCACCCCTGCCCCGACAGTCGCGCATCTTCCAGCTGCGTTTCCCCCCAAGCTACTGACTTCTTTATCCCGACTGGTCAAAGCCAGTTAGCTGGAGGACTTCTTCAGCCCCAGCCAGTCAGTCCCTCGTTACCCCGCGCAGTCTTCACTCCGTGGCGCCCACACTACCCTTTGGCTTTTCCTGTTTACTTAAAACCCGCTTGGGTTGTCATTGTGGGGAAAGGACTGGAAATACACTCTTCACACAAAGAGTTGGAAAATTAGGGGGAAACGTGACACCGGTTAGGTCTAAGTTTGAACTGAAAGGAACTAGTGCGGCTGAAGTCCTACTGTGTACCACAGATTGGGCGGGGCGCTTGGAGATCCCAGCATTTCCTCTCTACCTGCTTTTCTGGTGCCCAAGAGCTGGGAAATTGGAAGCCTGGGCGAATGTAGGTCAGGACCTTGATCCCTCACCACAGAAGAAGCCCTCACTAATAGGAAACTGTAATGGAAGTCAAGGAGTTGGAAAAGACAACGAATTTCATCTCTTGCAGCTTAAACATTAAATCCTTCCTGAACGTTAGGCAAGTGTTGAGCTTCCTCATACCCTCAGATCCATTAGAACCTCCTCCCTTCCACACACCGAGGAGCTCTCCCACAGCCCCTTAATCATCACTGGTGACTTAACTTT